AGTTTATTATAGATAAACTAAAAAAATTTTTTATTAAAAATTTTTTTTAAAATTGTATATTTTTGGTCTATAAGCAATATAATTTTTTTTTTATAATTTAAAAATAAATACTGCAAAAAAGTAATACTTATTTTTAAATATTATTATACTAAATTTTATTTATATATTTTAACAATTTAAAAAAGTAAATCAAAGCTAAAAAAATACAAAAACATAGACAAATTTGTCTATATTAGTTTACAATTTAAGAAATAAAGGCTTTCATCTTATTTGTTATATTTAAAATTTCTATAGTTATATATACTATACTTTGTATATACAGTATATTCAAACAATTTATAGTTACTAACTTTATATTAGACTGATCAAAAGAGCTATTTACAATTTCTAATAATAATTTTAAAAAACTTAAGAACATTAATATAGTTTATTTAATATTTAACAGTTAATAAAAAATATAATTTTTATGTAAAGAGTTACTGAGCTCAAATAGCAATAAAAAGCAATAACAATTTGCTATTATAAATTAAAATATTAATTCAAATATGTATGTTTTATCAAACCAACACATTTTGTATTAACAAAATTTTAAATACTATTAATTTTTTTTATATACTTACTTGATTCTTTTTGCTGAAGTAAAAATGTATGCATTACTTCTAAACTTTTTAGTGCTTCACTTGTACTTATAATTGTTGTTTCAATACTGTTATCTGCTTTATTAAAATCTTTATTATCAGATTCTTTAAGTTTTTCTTTAAAGCCTTCAATAATTTTAGTTATTAGAGAGTTTTTATCAAGAATTTTACAAACAACTTCTTTTTTTAAAATAGTTAACAATCATCTACTTTTATTAAATTAGATAAATTAAGATTTTTAATTGAATCTGAAAGATTTAGCAGTTTATTAGTTTTTTCAATCTCTTAACTATTTTCTAAAGAAATATTATTATTATTATTTAAAAAGATATTAATATAATGCTAACAATTATAAATCATTCTTTCTTTAACTTCATTTTGTGCTTTAATAATATAATGAATTTCTCATAAGATATTCATTTTCAGATTCTTTACATTTTTTTTATTTTCAACTTCTTTCAACATCTACTAAATATGAAAATAATAATAATTTTTTTTGAATGCCATTATGATTCTAGCATCTATTGGCTGGATTTTAAAGATTGTATTTAAAGATAAAAAAAGAATTTTAATATTTGGCAAATCTAAGCCATCTATATTATAACTTGAGCAAATGTTAAAAACTAATAAAACATACTAACTATTATATTTTTTTGTAATTTGCAGATTAAATCAATAAAGCTACTCTTGAAAAAAAGTTATAAGCATTCAGGCTTTTGTATTATTACAATAAAGGATTAGTAAGTTAGAAATCTTAACATTTTTAAAGCATTATAGTTTTGTATATTTTCTGGTTATCAAGAAATTTAGTTTATAGAAACCATTAGCATTCACATATAGTGAAATAAAAATTTACTCTTTGTTTTTTTTATACCCAGTAAGGTATTGTGTTGCTAATAAATAATCAGATTTCAACCTATAAAAAAGAGCTGTTTTATTCATATTGTAAATTCATTCAAGAAGATATTTAGTATATTTTTCTTGTAATTAAGAAAAAAAGTTAATAATAACAGTATTATCAACAGATTCTGCTTCTTCATATAATTTTTTTTATAAATTCTATTATGTTTTTTAAATTTATAGAGCCAGCCTAAAAAAAATTATAATATACCTTCTAAAATTTCTAAGCTTTTAAAAAATTGCTTTGCTTTTTCAATCAATATAGCTTTACTTATAACTGTACAATATTGATAAATTAATATAAATTCTTTAAGGGCTAGTTCAAACTGAGAAACAGTAACAGATCTATTTTGTCTTTTGTTTAGATTATTAATTTTAGCAGTAAGCTAGTTTGCTTTCATTTGCAAAATTCTTGTAATAGTTGACTTATAAACTTTAACACTCTATTTATTTTTAATCCATTCTATATATTTATTTCAAATTATTTTATTTTTATTAGCAAAATAACAAAATTCAAATTTTAAACATCAGTTAAAGTATTTTTGGATAGTATAATAATTGTCAAGAGGCTTTAGATAACAGAAAAAACAAAATCAAATATTTCAAGTTAATTGCTAATCTGAATAATTTGATTTTTATAGATTTTAGAAAATAAAAAAAAATAATTCTATCTTATTTTATTTAATCTATCTACTTTATTGAACAAACAAGATCTTATATCTGAAACTATGTAAAAAAAGTATTTTTATATATATTAATTTTTTTATAGTTATTTGATTTATTTATTTATTTTTTTTTTTGATATTAAGGTGATCTCTTTGGTCTTTTAACTTTTATTAATCACTTATCAGTATTGTGGTTCAATGAATCACTACAGGAGAGTGTACAATTGGCTATATGTGTAACTTTTCTATATTACCTATTTA